TCCTCCTCCTCATCCTCATCCTCATGCTCCTTCTCCTCCTCCTCCTCCTCCTCCTCCTGCTCACTCCTCACTCCTCACTTCTCCTCGTTCTCCTTCCTCCATTCCTCCCTCCCTCCCTCCCTCCCTCGTTCCCTCCCTCGCTCCATCCCCTGCCTCCCTCCCTCCCTCCCTCTCTCCCTCTCCCTCCTCCTTCTCCTTCTCCTTCTCCTCCTCCTCATCCTTCTCCTCCTCCTCCTCCTCCTCCTCCTCCTCCTCGTCCTCCTCCTCCTCCTCCTCCTCCTCCTCCTCCTCCTCGGTCTTCAGATGTGCTGCCCTCCTCGCAGGTCCCCGTTCCAAGCCCAAGCCATGCCTCGCCGTCCCCCCCTGGTCTGCTCGCAGTGCCGCAGTTGCCCCCGGAGCGAGGGAGGCTTAGCGCCCGCGCGGCGTGGCCCGGGACCTCGGGGCTGCCGGGCTACCGGAGGGCCTCCGCGGCCGCGCAGCGTGGGCCCGTGCGCGGGCGATGCGGCGCGGGCGCGGATAGGGACCGCCTTGGTGGCGTTGCGGCGGCGGGCTGCCAGGCTTGGTGTCTACCTTTGGGCCGAGGCCAGGTCCAGGCAACCGCCGGTTGCCTGCCAATGTCCCCGCCTTCCGTGGCCAGACGGCGGCATCGAGCAGCCGAGTGCGCACGGGGCTCGAGCCCCCCCCTCCCTCGCCCCCCTCCCCCACCTCCCCCCTCCCCCGAGGATGGCATGTGCGCCGCAAGTGCACAGGAGTAGCGGCTCGAGCGCTGGCCTAAACCTGATGAGCCTGAAGCCCTCCTGCGCGTCGCGGCTCTCTCCCCTCGCCCGTGGGACGGAGCCCGCCTCGGAGTCGTCCCCATCCAGGCTCCGTCGGCTCCCTGTCCCGCCGCGGCGACGGCAGGACTCCACCAGTCGCTCTGCCCACCCCCTCCCCTCTCCCCTCCTCCTCCTCCCCTCTCCCCTCCTCCTCCTGCTCCTCCTCCTCCTTCTCCTCCTCCTCCTCCTTCTCCTCCTCCTCCTCATCCTATTCCTATTCCTCCTCCTCTATTGTTTTCGATTTGCCCTTGAACGTAATTCCTCCCTGTCGCGCCCCGAGGCTGGTCGAAAGATCGGGCTGGGCGTTTCACTTGTGACTTCCTCGCCATTTACGACCCTGAAGCTGAAACATTGGCAACAGTTTCACGAGTGGAGGGCGGGTGGTTTTCAAACTGTGGCTCTCGCCTTAGCGCCGCGCACATTCGTTTTCAACATTTGCAGGGGGTTCAAGGACTGAGGGCGGTTGGTTTTGAAAATGTGGCTCTCGCCTTAGCGCCGCGCGCATTCGTTTTTTATTATATAAAAAAGTGCAAGAGCTTCACGGATTGAGGGCGGTTGGTTTTCAAAATGTGATTGCCGCCTCAGCTCCGCGCACATCCGTTTCAAAACATTGCAGGAGTTTCACGGATTCCTATGGTCAACCTGCCAGAAATGCTGTTTGCAAGGGTTCAGGATTGTGAGGGTGCAACAATTACGTTGAATTCGCGGTGTTGAAGTCCCAGGAATGCTGTTCTGGCGCGATTCCGGATCGTCAAGACGCAACAGTCAGGTTGATCCGCGGCGTGAAGTCCCGAGAATGGTGTTTTGGCATGCTTCAGGGTCTTCAAACGCTTGTCTCCCAACGAGGCAGTTCTCAGTGGAAGTGAACCCTTGCAGGGGCCTACGGAGAGAGAGAGAGAGAGAGAGAGCTCGGAGGGAGGGTTGATTCCAACATCGTTGATGAGTCTTGGGTTTGCACTGGTCCTCCTCCTCCTCCTCCTCCTGCCTCCTCCTCCTCCGCTCCCGAGACCTCCTTGGGGGGGCGTTCCCGCGCCGCCCGGCCACTCGCTGCTTGGGCAGGGCGCGCGGCGCGCGTCGGGGGCACCCCCCATTCGGAGGAGGAGATGGTGCCGATGCCGCTGCGTTGCCCCCGTCTTCGGGGCTCTTGGGGCCTCCTGGGAGGCCCCCTCGTTGCCGCGGCCGGGTTCGCCTCGAAGCTCTGGTCGGGGCGTTGCCCGAGAGGTCCGGGGAGTAGCGGTGTTCCTCCTCCTCCTCCTCCTCCTCCTCCTCCTCCTGCTCCTCCTCCTCCTCCTCCTCCTTGGGTACTTTTCTGGTTTCCCCAGCCTCGCATTCCGTTTCCCGTCCCGCCTGGAGCGCTCCTTCGCCTGCGCGCCCTTTCCTTGGCGATGTCGCCGCGGTTCCGCTCCTCCCGCGCCCAGGCGTGGTCTGGAGAGCTTCCGATCGGCTCGCCCTGATTCTGTCTTCCCAGGGGCGGCCCCCTGAGCTCGGGGCCCCGAGGTTCTCGGGGCATGGGCTTCCGCATGCCTGCGCGCGTGGGGCGGGCGCTGAGCCACCGAACGGTGGCTCCAAGAACAGCATCCCACTCGTGCTTTCGGGCGCGGCAGGCGGGATACTCTAAGACACCGCTGCCACGTTCGCCTCTCTGGGCCCTCCCTCCAGAGGCGTCAGGAGAGAGTTGCTGCGGTGCTCAATACCAAAAGGCTTGCTCCAGATTTCGTAATAAAAGGGAGGGGGTCTGGACCCTACAAGACAAGCCATTACGAAATCTGGAGTACTCGTATTCGCCCGAGCCCCCCGCCTGCCCTCGCCTGCCTCCGGCAAGCACCCGAAGCGGAGCGGGCAGCTGCAGAACTCTCCGTGGCAACCACCTCTGTGAGGTTCGGGTTGGAGGCCCTGCGTCGAAGTCGTCGGCTGCCTGGTCGCAACAGGAGATTGAGAGCAGCAGCATCAATTTCAGTGTGTTGTCGCCCGTGCTGAAGGTCCAGCTTCGACTCGGACAGGGTTCTTGGGCAGCTTGACCCTCGTGGTCGTTCTGTTCATCTCCTTACTCTTCCTCCTCTCCCCCTCCCCCTCCTCCCTCTCTTCTTCCTCTTCCTCTTCCTCCTCCTCCTCCTCCTCCTCCTCCTTCTCCTCCTCCTCCTCCTTTCCCTCCTCTCGGGGGGGGAGGGGTCGCTGGGCGGTGGGCCTTCGCAGTGAAACAAATCCTCGAAAGCCTCCTCTGCGGTTTTCTGGTTTTCCCCATCCTTCCCTTCCCACCTTCCCGAGCCTGCTTCTATGGGACGTGCATCTATGTGCATCTATCCTCTTCGCCCTTGCCCCCCCAGAAGAAATCCCCAGGAACATCCGAGAAGCACACTTCTCCTCCTCCCCTCCCCCCGCTCCTGGTTGTCCTCTACCCAATCCACCTCCTCACTTATCCTCTTCCGCCTTGCTCCTTCACCTCTGCCGTCCTCCCTCCTGCCTCCCTCCTCCCCCTCCCCATCGTTCCTCCGCTCCTCCTCTTCCATCTCCCCCTCCCCACTCTCGTCCCCGTCGTCCTTCCTCGGTCCACCCGGTTCCTCCTTCTCCATTATCTTTCGTCCTGTTATTATTATTCTTCTAATTAGTAGTATTATTATTATTATGAGTATTATGGTTATTATTATTAGTATTATTAGTAGTAGTAGTAGTAGTATTTATTAGTAGTAGTACTATTAGTAGTGCTATTGCTGTTGTTGTTATTATTATTACTACTACTAGTATTATTAGTAGTATTAGTAGTAGTAGTAGTAGTAGTAGTAGTAGTAGTAGTAGTAGTAGTAGTAGTAGTAGTAGTAGTAGTAGTAGTAATAGTCGTATTCTTATTGTTATGATTATTATTATTATTAGTAGTATTATTAGTGGTAGTAGTAGTAGTAGTAGTACTATTAGTATCTACTTATTAGTATTATTATTATTATCATTATTAGTACCATTCGTATTAATATGATCATCATCGTTATACTTATTAATATAAGTATTATTGTGGTTATTAATATTATTATTAATCGTATTATTAATATTATTACTAATAATCGTATTATTCGTCTTAGACTTAGTATTATTATAATTACTTTCAGTATTACTATTAATTCGCAACATTACTAAGATTACGATTATTCATATTATTCCTCTTCTTCCTCCTCCTCCTCTTCCTCTTCCTCCTCCTCCTCCCTGTCTCGTCGTCCTCCGAGCGGCGAGCGCGTCTGTCCGCGCGCCCGAGCACTCTGATCGGGAGCGGGCGCAACCCCCCAACCCCGGAATCGGCGCACCGCTCAGCGGTGACTGGTCCTGGAGACGAGGGGGTGCGCCCGCCGTCGTCCTCCTCCCCCTCCTCCGCCTCCTCCTCCTGCTCTTCCTCCTCCTCCTCCTCCTCCTGCTCTTCCTCCTCCTCCTCCTCCTCCTCCTCCTCCTCCTCCTCATCCTCATCCTGTCCTCCTCCCTGCCTCCTCCCTTACGCCTCCTCCCCATCCTCCTTCCCTCGCCGAAGGAGTATCAGAGCGCGGGCGCCGAGCTCAACGAGGACCTCTCGGAGTGCGCCACGATCTGCGCCGTCAAGGAGGTGCCCATTGACCTCCTCCTGCCAGGCCACGCCCCGTCGAGATCCCTCCCTTCTTGATGCAGGGTGGGGGGCACTCTTTCCTCCCCCCCTCCTTCTCCTCCTCGATTCTCCTCGCTCGCCTCCTCGTCGCTCCTGCATCCCCCTTCCTTACTTCCCCTCCTCCTCCTCCTCCTCCTCCTCCTTCTCCTCCTCCTCCTCCTGGCGCACACTCCAAGTCCCCAAGTCCGCACATGACGCGGAGGGACGGCGCGCGCGCGTGAAACTACCCTGCACCCAGCCCCTTGCCAAGCTCGTCTGGCCAGGTCTTCAGACCTGGGGGGAGGCGGCCATCCATGAGTTTGGACAGCACCTTCTTGCCCCAGTCTGTTGGGCGGTGGCAGGTGCCTTGCAACCCTGCGCTTACCTTCGCACTGCTGTACGACCCACACTTGCGACACCACCAGAGTTCACGAGTACAAGACACATCGTGGCTCTGATGGATCTGGTGCGGCCGACCTGGGCAAAGCAAGGCAAGCCACTCCAGCGTCCCACACTCTTTGGTAGGGCGCCCGCGGCAGACAATACACAATTTATACCCCCCCTTCTCGATCACGCTGTGTGTGGTCTCCTGCAGTGCTTGCTCAACGTTCGATTGACGCTGGGCCCTGGACGCTCGACTGCGGGCCACACGATCAGCTCTAGAGGTGGCCGAGTATAGGGATGGGGTCTGGATAGCCACTTGCAGAGCGACTTCTGTCAGGCGCCTCTGCACGCGGACAGCTTTATTATCTATGTCGATTACCTGCTGGATGATATGCTGTGGGAGCCTGGCCATGCGCGCCCCTTCACTTGCACACTCATCCGCGGCCTGGTTGGCGGTAAAATCTTCCCGGGTAATGTGGACCCCCACATCCCCTTCTTCGAGGTGGGACTTTACCTTTTTAAATTGGCACGGCCCTGGATGGCCTTCATAGGCCTCCCAGAAATCGAGCCACGCAGCCGAATTAGCCTCGTGCTTCCATTGGGGTCCATGACGAATCCCATCAATCACACTCTGGCAGTCGAGCACAAAATGACATTCACCACTAGTGCGTTGCAAAGCTACGGTGATACCGACCAGCTCCGCTAGGGGAACCGTCTGGATCCGTCCTGGGAGGGTGCCGTACGCTCTGCCTACCACATGGCCTCCCTGGACAATGGCGCAACCCCATCCGCAACGACGGAGGCGCTTATCGTCAGTACAATCCCCCCCACTCCCGTCCGACCCGACCCGATCATCAGCGCCTAAGGGCACGCGCCCTCCTGCATCGAATGCTCCTTCAAAATTGGCCTGGCCCTCCGGCCACGAATCGACCAAGTCGTGGACCCATAAAACAGGAGTCAAACCGCGGAGCCAAAAACATGGGAACTCGGCATGTTTCTCACGGGCTTCCAGGGCAAGGGGGAGGTCCTCAGGAGAGAGAGGGGGGTTGCAGGGGCAGCTCCACATCTGGTGAAAAAGATCCTCCTCCTCCTGCCCACACCGCCGGCAACGCCTCTCCTCAGACCCGACGGGGGCCTGGGGAGCGCGCCTCGTGGCGGGCCATAGGGCGCCTGTGGCCACCATCTTGAGGACGGCTGCCAAACTGGCCTCCCCCTTAGACCTCAACCTCGCGAGGTGGCGGCGGAGAGGAGTGAGGTCACACCCGAATTCTAAACCTGCCCCACAGAAATGCTGAGACGCATGCTGCTCCCACACCTTCTGCTCCAGCGCCCCCTCCACCTCCGCCCCCCCGCCCCTCGCTCCTCGTCCCCTCCTCGCGCTTCCGCTTCGAGCTTCGGGCTGCGGGCGGGTCCGCTGCCGCTCCCAACCCGTCCCGTTCCTAACATCTAACTCCTCCCTGTAGCACCCCCAGGCGTGTTCGCAGGCTGGGCCAGGCGCTTCGCCCGAGACTTCCCCACCTCCTCCTCCTCCTCCCCCTCCTTCTCCTCCTCCTCCTCCTCCTCCTCCTCCTCCTCCTCCTCCCCCCTCCTCCTCCCTCTCCTCCTCCTCCTCCTCCTCCTCCTCCTCCTCCTCCTCCTCCTGCTCCTCCTGCCGCACCTCCAGGCGTGTCCGCAGGCTGGGCCGGGGGCGCTTCGCCCGAGACTTCCCCACCGCGTGCGCTTCTGGAGCATGAAAACTGCAACAGCTTCAGGGATAGAGGGTGGAGTGTGAACATGCCGCCTCGTTTGGAAAGTTCACAACAGCTTCAAGGATGGAGGGGGGCGTTGACAAAATGGGTCTCTCGCCATAGCGCCGCGCACATTCGTTGTCAAACTTTGCAGCAGTTTCAAGGATGGAGGCCAGTTTCTGTTCAAAACGGAGCTCTAGTCGTAGCGCCGCGCGCATAAAAAACTGTTGCAGAAGTCTACATGGTTCCAAAGAATGAGCTCCCAGGAATTGTGTTCTAGCACGGTTTAGGGGTGTCAGGACGCAACAGTCATGGATTCGTTGTGTTGCGGTCCCAGCAGTGGCGTTCTGGAACGACTCAGGGTTGTCAGGACGCAACTTTCGCGTCGTTTCGTGGCCTTGCTGTGCCAGGAACAGCGTTTTCGCACGATCTAGCAATCTCGAGTGATATGTTGGACATTGAGGGGTGCCCGAATGCGATCAACTATGTGATGTAAAACCGTTGTTTGAGTGCCTTCCTTCCTGTCCTGACGAAGCATCCTCATGTGAGTTCCTCGGACAGGGGTGGGGGGAGGGTTTGATTATCAGTCGGCTGCGTTGCAAGCACTTCCCGCAATGAGATCATATTGTTGTAGGGACGTCTCTGCCGAGAGGGTACCTGCAGGGTTGGTCGACTGCGGGCGGGTTGGTTGTCGCTCCCCCTCCACCCCTTTCCTTGTACATACCTCCTCCTCCTCCTCCTCCTCCTCCTTCTCCCCCTCCCCCTCCTCCTCCCCCTCCTCCTCCTCCTCCTCCTCCTCCTCCTCCTCCTCCTCATCCCTCCTCCTCCTCCTCCTCCTCCTCCTCCTCCTCCTCCTCCTCGTGTCGCACCTCCAGGCGTGTCCGCAGGCTGGGCACGGCGGTTCGCCTTCTCGCCTCCCTTCGGAGCTTTAAGGGACGGGGGTCCATGCAAGCGGGGGCCAGCCAGGACACCGGATCCTGCAGGATCCTGCGAAGACCCCCTCTGTCGGGGGTGGACAGAACCCCCAACAGTGACACGTCGATTCTTGAATTGTCCGTTTTCGGTTCTCGAGAGCCGTTATTTTCCAGGCTCGCGCCCGCCATGTTTGGGCCTCAGGTCGTTTTCACTAAACCACGTTTTACTAAAGGGAGGTCTGTCCATCCCCGACTCTGGCTGACCTGGGTTAGCGAGCCGCTCGTTGCCGCGAGGCGGCCGCGCATATTGGCTGACCCGGGTTTGCGAAGCCTTGCGTTGCAGTTTGTTGTTTGTTTGTTCCTGCATTGCAGTTTGTTGGTTTCTTGCTGACCCGGGTCTGATTGACCCGGGTTAGGAGATCCCCGATTCCTCCTCCTTTATGATCTTTGAGCTGAGAATTTGAAACTGTTTTAGCGGATGGTGGGCGGGCAATTTTCAAATTGTGGCTCTCGCCGTAGCGCCGCGCACATTCGTCTCAAACGTTTGTAAGAGCTTCGCGGATGTAGGGCGGGCCCTTTTCAAATTGTGCCTCGCTTCAGCGCCGCGTACATTCGTTAAACAGAACGCAAGAGTTTAACGGATGGAGGGCGGGCCGTTTTCAAGGAGTGGTTCTCGCGCTCTCGCTCATTCGTTTCAAAAAGTTGCAAGAGCTTCACGGATGGAGGGCGGGTTGTGTTAAAAATGCGGTTATCGCACTAGCGCCGAGCACATTCTTTCTAAATATTTGCCAGAGTTTCATGGATGGAGGGCGGTACGTTTTCAAAATGTGGTTCTCGCTCTAGCGCTGCGCACATCCGCCTTAAGAGTTTACAGCAGTTGTCAAGGCTTCTGATGGTCGACGTCCCCGAAACGGTGCTTTGGCACGATGCAAAATATGTCAGGTCGCAACAGCTAAAGTGATTGGCGGTGTTGAAGACCCAGAAATGGTGTTTTGGCACGGTTCAAAATCGCCAGGGCGCAACAGTAACATTGATTCGCTGCGCTGAAGTCCCAGGAATGACGTCCTGGCGCGATTCCGTCCTTTCAGACGGTTGTCTTCCAACGGTGCAATTCCTTCAGTGGCAATGCATCGTTGTAGGGATCTACGGAGAGGGAGCTTGGAGAGATGGTTTATTGCAGCATCGTTGATGAGTCTTCGGTTTGCACTGGTCCTCCTCGTTCTCCTCCGCCTCGATCCGTGTTCCTCCTGCCTCGGTTGCTGGCCCCTCCTCCAGCTCCTCCTCCTTTCGTATCTCCCCCCTCCAGCTCCTCCCTCCTGCGCCTCCCGCTGCTTGCTCCCGCGCCTCCTCCTCCTCCTCCTCATCCTCCTCCTCCTCCTCGTCCCTCCTCCAGCACCTCCTCCGTGTCCTCGCCCCTCCTCCCTCCTCCTTCCTCGTTCCTCCTCCTGCCCACCCCCCCCCCAGCCCCCCCTCGGGGGAGGCCGCACCTGGCTCTTCTTCTCCCACACCATCAAGGCGCAGCCGGCCGGCATGCCCCTGCTGGACGCGGTTCTGGAGAGGAAGGTCGCCGCCGCCGCTGTCTTCGCCGTCGCTGCCGCCGCCGTCATCGTCGGACGTCGTCGTCGTCGTCGTCGTCGTCGTCGTCGTCGTCGTCGTCGTCGTCGTCGTCGTCGTTGTCGTTGCTGTCCTCGTCAACGCCGGCTGCGGAGGAGGAGGAGGAGGAGGAGGAGGAGGACGAGAGAGGGAGGAGGGCGAAAGGAGGAAGAAGGAGGGAGGATGGCGAAATAAAAGAGGAGGGAGGGGGATGATGATGAGGATGAGGATGAGGATGAGGATGAGGATGAGGATGAGGATGAGGATGAGGATGAGGATGAGGATGAGGATGAGGATGAGGATGAGGATGAGGATGAGGATGAGGATGATGATGCTGATGCTGATGCTGATGCTGATGCTGATGCTGATGCTGATGCTGATGCTGATGCTGATGATGATGAATGATGATGATGATGATGATGATGATGATGATGATGATGATGATGATGATGATGATGATGATGATGATGATGAGGCGGAGGAGGAGGAGGAGGAGGACCGGTGTAAACCCAGGAGTCATCAACGATGTTGGAATACACCCTCCCTCCAAGCTCCCTGTTCATAGGCCCCTGCAACGGTTCATGTCCACTGAGGGAACTGCCTCGTTGAAAGACAACCTTTTGAATACCCTGAAGCATGCCAAAACGTTGTTCTCGGGATTCCAACGCCTCGGATCAACCAGAATATTGCGTCTTGGCGATCCTGAATCGTGCTAGAGCGCCGTTCCTGGGACTTCAACACCGCGAGTCAAAGCAACTGTTGCGCCCTCATAATCCTGAGTCCTTGCCATACACCGTTTCTAGTACGCTTATCATGGGAACCCGTAAAACTCTTGCAACTCTCCACATGCAGAAAAAGCACGAATGTGCGCGGCGCAAGGGCGAGAGCCACATTTTGAAAACGTGTCCCCCCTCCATCCGTGAAGCTCTTGCAAACGTTTGGAAATAATGTGCTCGGCGCTTAAGGGGAGAGCCACATTTTGAAAAGGAGCCGCCCTCAATCCGTGAACTTCTGGCAAACTTTTAAAACGAATATGCGCGGCGCTCAGGCGAGAGCCGGATTTTGAAGGCGGGCCACCCTCAATCCGTGAATTGTTTGCCAACGTCTTTAGCTTCAGGATCGTACATGGTGAGGGAGGATAAGGCGAAACGCCCGGCCCGCCCTAGAAACTGGCCTCGGGGTCCGACAGGGAGAAGTTGTTTATAAGGAAAAGGAGTGGAGGAGGAAAAGGAGGAGGAGGAGGAAGAGGAGGAGGAGGAGGAGGAGGAGGACGAGCAGGAGGATGAGGAGGAGGAGGAGGAGGAGGAGGAGGAGGAGGAGGGGGAAGGGAGGAGGGAGGAAGGAGGAGCAGGGAGGAAGGAGGAGCAGTGAGGGAGGCGGGGGGGAGGGAAAGGAGGGGGAGGTACGACTCGTGGATTACGAGTGCATCACCCAGACGGGCAACCGCAGGGACCAGCGATTGGTGGCGTTCGGCAACTACGCCGGCTACGCGGCCACTGGGGAGAGCAGAGGGGGAGGAGGAGGGGGAGGAGGAGGAGGAGGAGGAGGAGGAAGAATATGCAGAAGGAGTACCAGGAGGAGCGATGGAAGGAGGAGGAGCAGGAATGGGAGGAGGAGGAGGATGAAAAGGAGGACGAGGAGGAGGAGGATGTAAAGGAGGAGGAGGAGGAGGAGGAGGAGGAGGAAGATGATCCCCCCCAAAAGAAAAAGCATATCGTATAACCCATTGTGAAAGTTCTCCGGGGACATGGTTCCTCCTTCTCATCCTCCTCCTTCTCACCTCGTCCTCCGCCTCTTCCGTCGTCTCGTCCTGTTCCTCCTCCTCTTCCTCCTCCTCTTGGTCGTGTGTTTTGCTTCCACTCCGGATCTTGTGCCACCGCATGTTTTGGAGATCCCCAGGGTCTCTCGGAAGTCCCCATGGGTTTTCCAGATGGTTCAAAGCAGCGCTCATATCCTTCCTTACTCGATCCTCAAGGGTCGAAGGGGAAACTTGACATCTCTTGGAGGAATGACCGCAGACACCCCGCGATCGGATTTTTTCAGTGCGCGGGCTCCTGGACTTCTCGACCCCGTCCCCAGGGCCAGTCCTTCACCCCGAGCCGCTTTTTTCGATGGCCCCAAGGCCCGAAACTGGCGCCCAGAGTCTCAGAGACCAAATGCTGCAACAAGGCGGCCGCCTCAAGTTTTATTAACACGAGCGCCAGATGTCTTGGATGGATGGATGGATGGATGGATGGATGTCTGGATGGATGGAGGGTGCCATCGACTTCCTCCGCGGCCTGGGCGAGCGCTTCCTCGCGCTGGGCTACAGCACCCCTCTGCTCCACATCGGCTCGGCGTTCATGTACCCGAGCCTGGCTGAGGCGAGGACCGACGAGGGTCGACGACGACGCGGTATTCGCCGTCGTCGATCGACGTCGATCGATCGGCGACGTTGTCACCGTCTTCAATTGATCGACCCTCCTCGCCTTCCTCCCCCCATTCACCGCGGCGTCGATACGTTGTAGGGTGCATTTTGGAGATGAGCTTTTTTGGATGGGGATAACTGTGAGGATGAGGATCGGGGCAGAAGCGAAGGATCAACATGGGCCTGAGGACGGGGTGCCGAGGCAGCGTATCAGGGTGAGCGCGAGGATATGGATGCGGGGATGAGGTTTCGGGACCGATGTATCCAGAGGTTTCCGGATGCGTTCGGAGGGGTCCAGATGTACCCAGGTGCCTATGGAGAGGTATGCAGGTGGGGGGAGGATGGCAAGAAGGAGGGAGAGTGGAGTCCATGGACGAAGAAGAAAAAGAAGTGAGAGAAAGAGGATGGAGGAGTAGGAGGAGAAATCATGATAGTGATCGTAGCCATTGTAGGTGTGTGGGTGGGGAGGTAGGTCGTAGGATTGTCCATGGTCTTTGCTCCGTAGTGGCACTGTTGCAAGAATGTGCATGGTCATCCAAGACGCCTGCGGCGAGACATCGCCGCCCCCTGCCTCTTCGGAAGCGCCAATGCGGCCAAACGTTGGGCCAAAGCTTGGCCAGTCTATTGGACTATGTGGTCCTCCAGCCGTGGTGGAAGCCCCTGGGGAACACCTGGGGCTTGGAAGAGGGGAACAAGGATGCTGCAAGAGACCCTTCTTCCAAGTTCCCTCTTCACAGGTCCCTACAAGAACTTGCTTTCATTGCGGGGGACGCCGCATTGGAAGACAGCCGTCTGAGAATGCCCAATCAGTCACAACCCAGCACCAGACATCTCTTGGATTTCAGCGCCGCTCATCAACGTGAATGTTGCGTCCTGACAATTCTAGATCGTGCCAGAATGCCATTTCCTGGGATTTCAGCACCGCGAGTCAATGTGACTGCTGCGTCTTGACAATTCTCGATCGTGCCAGGACACAGACTCTGGCACTTCCGCCCTACGAATCCTTCGAAGCTGCTGCACATTGCTAAGACGAGTGTGCGCGGCTCCAGGGCGAGAGCCGCATGTTGAAGAGGAACCGGCCTCCGTTTTTGAAGCTGCTGTAGACTTTCGAATGTGCGCGGCGCCAAGGCGAGAGCCGCAGACTCAAAACGGACCGCCCTCCATCTCGAAGTTGGTTGAAAGTTGGAAGCGAATGTGCCCGGCGCGAAGGCGAGAGCCACATTGTGAACAGGGCCGCCCTCCATCTTTGAAGCTGCCGCAAGCTTTAAAGACGAACGTGCGCGGCCCTAAGGCGAGAGTCACATTTTGAAACCACCCGCCCTCCATCCTTGAAGTTGTTGCAAATTTCAAATTCCAGGGTCATACATGGTGAGGAAGTCTCAGGCGAAACGCCCGGCCCGCCCTACCGATAAGTGTCTTGGGGCGCGACAGACAGGGAGGAGTTATTTATGAGGAAAAGGGTTGGAGAAGGAGGAGGAGGAAGAGGAGGAGGAGGAGGAGGAGGAGGAGAAGGAGGACGAGTATAAGAACGAGGCGGACGAGGAGGCGGCCTCTTGGGGGCATCTTAGGGGCTTCATGGGAGCCGCGTGGTGGCCTCTTGAAGAACCTGGGGCCCCTGTTGGAGTGCCGTCTTGGGGCTCTATTGGGCCATGGTGGCCGTCTTGGAGGGTATTTTGGACCGTCTTGGAGGACGTACAGGGCCATCTTGGTCGATGTGTAGGCCATCTTGGCCGTCTGGGAGATAGTCTTGAACCGTCTGGGGACCCTCTCGGCGGCTTCTCGGGCCATCTTGGGCGCCGCGTGGGTCGTCTGAGGCTGTCGGAAGCCCTCGAGGGAGAAAACGCCGAAATGATTGAGACGCCCACGGTGAAAACAAAACAATGATGTTTGCTTTTTGGCGCCCTCTTGGGGGCCTTCTCGGAGGCCTCTTGCCTGGGCCGTCTTAGAGGCCTCTTGGGTGGTCTTGCGGGGATGTTAGCCCTATCTTGGCCGACTGTTTAGGGCATCTTGGGTCGTCTTGGCGTCCATGGTGCCATCTTGGCCGCTTCGGCTCGTCTTGGCGGCCCTGGCCGGGAAAGCCCACTGGGTATGACTTCTCCGGGTGGCCCGCGGGGCCACGGGCTCCGCCGAGAAGGGCCAACAATGGGTGTAAAACCCGGCGCGCCAGCACCCCTCTGGCAAGCTGCGGGGGCGGCGGATCGAGTGGCATTCGGCCCATCCGTCCACTGCGCCTGGGTCCTCCTCCTCCTCCTCCTCCTCCTCCTCCTCCTCCTCCTCCTCCTCCTCCTCCTCCTCCCTCTCCTCCTCCGCCTCCTGGGCCAGAGTCCCCGGGGATGCCCCCTGCTCCCGGGATATGCCTGTTGGGGTGCATCGCTGCATCTTGGGGGCACCTCGCGGGCGCCTTTGGGGGGCCTCTGGGGGCCTCGTGGGGCCTCCTTGGGGGATCTCCTGGCGGTCTCAAGGGCCGTCCTGGCACTAGACGGTTCCCATGGCCCCTTCGTGGTACAATATCCGGTGCCAGAGAAAGTACTATCATGCGTTTTGTTGTGACTGTTCAGTACAAGTCTCGCGAAGATCCCCGAGAGATCTGGCATTAAAGCCCCGGGCCCCTGAAAGAGCATTTCAACTATCCAGCGCAGAGAACTCGAAGGGACCTCATGACTCATGGCGATCCTGTAGTGCCTACGGCATGGTAGCGGGCCACGACTGGTAGTGGTTGAGGCTGTTACAGCTCTCGCGAGTCGTGATTGAGCAAGGAGAGGTAGAGGAACAGCCAGAGGCAGAGAAACGGAATGGAGGGGAGGCTGGATGAGACAGAAAATCGGGGAGGATGTTGCTGATGAAGGTGAGGAGGAGGAGGAGGAGGAGGAGGAAGAGAAGGAGGAGGACGAGGACGAGGCCGAGGAGGCGGGAAGATGAGGAAGTAGCCCGAAGGACGATGGGGAGAATTTGGAAGAGGAGGCTGAGGAGGAGAAGAAGGAATATCAAACAAATGGAATGAACAGGCGGAGGGAGAGCATATATAGGAGGCAGAGGAGGAGGAGGAGGAAGAGGAGGAGGAGGAGGAGGAGGAGGAAGGTCGGAGGAGGAGGAGCATGAGGAGGAGGAGGAGGAGGAGGAGGAGGAGGAGGAGGAGGAGGAGGAGGATAGAGGTTGGGAGGGGAGAAGGGGGAGGTCGTCAGAGGAAGGGGCGGGGAGAGGAGAATACGAAGGATGAGGACGAGGGAGTTGGAGGACGAGGGGCGGGCACGACGGCCCAAGAGAATGAGGGAGCAGGACGACGACGACGATGACGACGACGAGAAAGGAGGGCAGTCAGACCCGCGCCCGAGGCGAAGCGCGCCGTGGAGCTGGCTGGCGAGTCCATCCGCACGAAAGGGTTGCCGGCGGCCCTTTGCCCCTTCACCGCCGTCTTCACTGGCAGCGGCAAGGTCAAGTCGTTCGTCGTCGTCGTCCTCGTCGCCGTCGTCGTCGTCGTCGTCGTCGTCGTCGTCGTCGTCGTCGTCGTCGTCGTAATCGTCGTCGTCGTCGTCGTCGTCGTCCTCGTCGTCGTCGTCGTCGCCGTAATCGTTGTCGTCGTTCGACCGTTCGGAGGTTTTCCCCTGGTCTCGTCCTCCAGGGGCCCATTTTGGACTCTGGGGGCGGCAGAGACCAATCCAGGGTGGACCACTGGCTGGACTGGACATTGGGAGGGTCGAGAGACCGCTTTGAGCACATTTCAGCCGTAGCCGTCGTCGTCGTTGTTGTTCTCCTCCTCCTCCTCCTCCTCCGCCTCCTCCTCCTCCTCCTCCTCCTCCTCCTCCTTCTCCCCTTCCCGAGGACGGAGGAAGGGAGGAGACCCTCCTCATCCTCCTCCTTCTCCCTTTCCTCCTCCTCCTCCTCCTCCTCCTCCTCCTTCTCCTCGTCCCTTTCCTCCTCGTGCCGTTCCTCCTCCTCCTCTTCGTCCCTTTCCTCCTCCATCCTCCTCCTCCTCCTCCTCTCCTCTCTCCGCCTCCTCCTCCTCCTCCTCCTCCTCCTCCTCCTCCTCCTCCTCCTTCTCCCCTTCCCTCGGACGGAGGAAGGCAGGAGTCCCTCCTCATCCTCCTCCTTCCCTTTCCTCCTGCTCCTCCTCCTCCTCCTCCTCCTCCTCCTCCTCCTCCTCCTCCTCCTCCTTCTCTCGTTCCCTTTCCTCCTCGTGCCGTTCCTCCGCCTCCTTGTCCCTTTCCTCCTCCTCCTCTTCCTCCTCCTCCTCCTCCTCCTCTTCCTCCTCCTCTCCTCCTCCGCACCCCCTCCTCCTCCTCCTCCTCCTCCACCTCCTCCTCCTCCTCCTCCTCCTCCTCCTCCTCCTCCTCCTCCTCATCCTCCCCCTCCTCCTCGTGCCATTCCTCCTCCCCCTCCTCCTCCAACACCTCTCCCTCTTCTGCTCCTGGAGGAGCGGCGGGAGGGGCAGCTCCCCTCCTCCTCCACGTCATCGTGCCCGCCGTCTTCCTCCCACTGCTCCGTGCGGACGTGGGCCAGGAGCCCCGTGCCGGAGGCCCCCCCTTTTAGCAGGGCCTTCTCGCCACACCTCGGCGATGCGTCGGCGACGTGCGCGCTGGAAAAAAAACTGGCCCCCGGGCCGCGCCGCACTTCTGCGGCTGCGTCGGAGCTGCCTCGGGGGTCTGGCCCCGAGACCTGGGCGCCACGCTCTCTTCACGCCGGGCGGCCTCGCCCGGCCGTGGGCCCCGCGGGACCAGCACAGCACGGGCCGGCTGGAGAAAGGTGCCGCGGAAAGACGTGGCCCCTTGGCATCGCTCGGGCGTGTGCTTTTTTCCTCGGCGAGGGCCATCGAGGAGCATCCTTGATCATTTCGCGAAAAAACCACGCACGAAACCGAAAAAAACACAGGAAATGGACGTCCGAGCGATGGAGAGGTCCCACCAGCAGGATCCAGCAGGAGCCACCAGAGAAGAGATCGGCCTGCCTGCGGGTGCCCCACGGAGATGTCTTCTTCCCCGATGGCCCCAGAGACTCCTGGAAGCTCAGGGGCGCCTCAGGGCCCTCAAAGTGACTACAAAGGGTGTGGTTACGCCGGGGTGTGGTTTGCGATCGGCGCCGTTGGGGCCTGGGGGCACGACACTGTCATCGTCGGGCCTCCTCGGGGCGCGGCGGAGAGCTCGATCGAGGTCCCCGCCCGCCCCCAGGGTGTCCCCCAGGGTGCCGGTTGTAAACCACACCTTGTGCAAACCACACCTTTCGGAGTCGCCGACAAAGATCGACGAAGAGTGTGCCCCAAGATTTTCGTCGTATGCGTCCACTGCAGGGCTCCAGCCGTGTTCCCTTTTGATGCTGCAATCTTTTGCCGCAGCGTCGGCTCTCGGGGCAGCGCAAGAGGGGCCCCCTTGAGGAGCCGGCGCTTTGTCGCAACGGCGCAGGAGGGGCCCCCTTGTGGCAGAGAGGGGGCACAGAGAGACACCACGACGGAGGAGGGCGCGGGGAGAGGGGGGGAAGGGAGGGGGAAAGCGCAGAAGCTCAGATCGTCGACAGTCTGGGGCGTTCTGCCTCTCTTGCGGCCTCCGCGGCCCGCTATCGGGCCCCGGGGCCATCAGAAACGCATCCTGGAGGCAAACCTGACCCCGGGGAAGCGGTCCGGACCCCTCTGGGGCCGCGGCTTGAACAGATCACATCAGCGGGTGTCGGAGGGGGGGTGGGGGGGGGAGGGCTGGTCGCAGCTGTGGGGGGGGGGGGCGTTCGTTCAGGAATGTGCCAAGGAGGCTTCAGACCCTGGAGGATTCCTTCTCCAGCGGGCCATGGCCGGGTCAGGCCGGCGGGCTCGGGCTTGGCCGGGGCCTCGCCTCCGAGGAGAGCGGGCTGGCAAGCTGTTCGGGAGGCAGGCAGTGATGCGAGCATGAACTTTCGGAGGTCCGCTCGGATTTCTCGGACCGGCGCTGGGGCCCCCGCGGCGCGCTCCGCGCGCCGGAAAGGGGGGCTCGGGCGCCGATCCAAGAAGTCCGCGCGGGCCTCCAAAAGTCTGTGCCCTTGTGATGTTTTTATTCCTCTACCTGTAGGGTTGTGTCGTGTCGACGCGGTGGCGACCCTGGCGTTGGCGTTCAAGGCTGAATGCCGCCACTGGCCCTGAATCGGCCGACATCGAACGATCCGCGCTGTGGCAAACTCGCGATCGTTCAAAGTGGACCGGTCCGCGTGGTGTCAGAAACCGACGCCGACGCCGTCACGACACGAACCTGTCGTGAAGGCAAGCTTGTGGGGTCCGCGCTGATCTCTTGGACGTACCCATGGGGGCCCCTGGCAAAGAAAAAATAATTACCCTGTGACGTACTCAACCCATTTGTATCAATGGAGACGAGGAGTTGGCCGAAACTTGTATGGACAATCAACTTGATGTGTGAGCTACTTGGGAGGCGTCACTGTGCTGGGCCCCGCAAGCAGGCCTCGAAAGTGGCGACACTTTCACAGATCGCAGGTCACCAGGGATGCCGAGGTCGAATTTGAATCTGCGTGTGGCGTCACTGTGCTGGGCCCCCCAGCAGGCCGCGAAAGTGGCGACAGTTTCACAGATCGCAGCCCCCGCAGGGATGGCGAGGTCCCATTTGAGTTCGCCGTGGGTACCCACTGTGCTGGGCCACCCAGCAGGCCTCGAAAGTGGCGACAGTTTCGCAGATCGCAGCCTCCCAGGGATGGCGAGGTCCCATGTGAATCCGCCGTGGGTATCCACTGTGCTGGGCCCCCCCGCAGGCCTTGAAAGTGGCGACAGTTTCACATATCGCAGCCCCCCACGGATGGCGAGGTCCCATTTGAGTCCGCCGTGGGTATCCACTTTGCTGGGCCCCCCAGCAGGCCGCGAAAGTCGCGACAGTTTCACAGATCGCAGCCCCCCAGGGGTGGCGAGATACAGTTTGAGTCCGCCGTGTATACCCAGTGTGTTGGGCCCCCCAGCAGGCCTCGAAAGAGGCGACAGTTTCGCAGATCGCAGCCCCCCAAGGATGGCGAGGTACAGTTTGAGTCCGCCGTGGGTACCCACTGCGCTGGGCCCCCCAGCAGCCTTCGAAATTGGCGACAGTTTCACAGATCGCAGCCCCCCAGGGATGGCGAGGTACAATTTGAGTCCGCCGTGTGTACCCACTGCGCTGGGCCCCCCAGCAGGCCTCGAAAGTGGCGACAACTTCACAGATCGCAGCCCCCAGGGATGGCGAGGTCCGGTTTGAGTCCGCCGTGTGTGCCTACTGTGCTGGGCCCCCCAGCAGGCATCGAAAATGGCGACAGTTTCGCAGATCGCAGCCCCCCAGGGATGGCGAGGTACAATTTGAATCCGCCGTGTGTACCCACTGCGCTGGGCCCCCCAGCAGGCCTCAAAAGTGGGGACAGTTTCGCAGATCGCAACCCCCCCAGGGATGGCGAGGTACAATTTGAGTCCGCCGTGTGTGCCCACTGTGCTGGGCCCCCCAGCAGGCCTCGAAAGTGGCGACGTTTGTCTGTGCAGGTCGCAGGCCCCCAAGGGATGCCGAGGTATGTTTGAAGTCCTGCCGTGTGTACCCACTGCGCTTTTTTTGGGCCCCCCAGCGGCCTCGAAAGTGGCGACAGTTTTCGCAGATCGCAGCTCCCCAGGGTGGCGAGTAAGCACTTTGAGTCCGCCGTGTGTACCCGCTGTGTTGGGCCCGCCCAGCGGCCCTGATCGAAAGTGGCGACATTTCACAGATCGCACTCCCAGGGTGCGAGGGTACAATTTTGAGATGTCCGCCGTGCTGGGCCCCCAGCAGGCCTCGAAAGTGGCGACAGTTTCGCAGATCGCAGCCCCCCAGGGATGGCGAGGTTCAATTTGAGTTTGCCGTGGGTACCCGGTGTGTTGGGCTCCCCAGCAGGCCTCGAAAGTTGCGACAGTTTCGCAGATCGCAGCCCCCCAGGGATGGCGAGGTCTAATTTGAATCCGCGCGTGGCCCTCACTGTGCTGGGCCCCCCAGCAGGCCTCGAAAATGGCGACAGTTTCGCAGATCGCAGCCCCCCAGGGATGGCGAAGTCTAATTTGAATCCCGCCGTGTGGTAACCCACTGTGCTGTGCTCCCCAGCAGGCTTCGAATGTGGCTACAGTTTCGCAGATCGCAGCCCCCCAGGGGTGGCGAGGTACAATTAGAGTCCGCCGTGTGTACCCACTGTGCTGGGCCTCACAGAAAGCTTCGAAAGTGGCGACAGTTTCGCATATCGCAGCCCCCCAGGGACGGCGAGGTACAAGTGTGTGTGCCCACTGTGCTGGGCCTCCCAGCAGGCCTCGAAAGTGGCGACAGTTTCGCAGATCGCAGCCCCCCAGGGATGGCGAGGTACAATTTGAGTCCGCCGTGTGTACCCACTGTGCTGGGCCCCCCAGCAGGCCTCGAAAGTGGCGACAGTTTCGCAAATCGCAGCCCCCCAGGGATGGCGAGGTACAATTTGAGTCAGCCGTGTGTACCCACTGTGCTGGGCCCCCCCAGCAGGCTTCGAAAGTGGCAGCAGTTCGCAGATCGCAGCCCCCCAGGGACGGCGAGTTACAATTAGAGTCCGCCGTGTGTACCCACTGTGCTGGGCCCCCCAGCAGGCCTCGAAAGTCGCGACAGTTTCGCAGATCGCAGCCCCCCAGGGATGGCGAGGTACAATTTGAGTCAGCCGTGTGTACCCACTGTACCCACTGTGTTGGGCCCCCCAGCAGGCCTCGAAAGTGGCGACAGTTTCGCAGATCGCAGCCCCCAGGATGGCTGAAGGTACAGTTTGAGTCCGCGTGTGTGTACCCACTGTGCTGGGCCCCCAGCAGGCCATCGAAGTAGGCGACAAGTTTCGCAGATCGCAGCCTCCCCAGGGATGGCGGGTATAAATTTGATTCGCCGTGTGTACCCACTGTGCTGGGGCCCGTACCCAGCAGGCTTCGAAAGTTGACGACAGTTTTCGCAGATCGCAGCCCCCCAGGGATGGCGAGGTACACAGGATCGGTGCATAATGTACACCACTGTCGTGGCCCGCCAGCAGGCCTCGAAAGAGCGACAGTTTTTCCGCAGATCGCAGAGCCCCCCAGGGACGAGCGAGGTACAATTTGAGGCAGCCGTGTGTAAGCCAGTGTGTTGGGACCCACCCCAGCAGGCCTCGAAAGTGGCGACGGTTTCGCAGATCGCAGCCCCCCAGGGACGGCGAGGTACAATTTGAGTCCGCCGTGTGTACCCACTGTGCTGGGCCCCCCAGCAGGCTTCGAAAGTGGCGACAGTTTGGCAGATCGCAGCCCCCGAGGGATGGCGAGGTATAATTTGAGTCCGCCGTGTGTACCCAGTGTGTTGGGCCCCCCAGCAGGCCCCGAAAGTGGCGACAGTTTCGCAGATCGCAGCCCCCCAGGGATGGCGAGGTACAATTTGAGTCCGCCGTGTGTACCCAGTGTGTTGGGCCCCCCAGCAGGCTTCGAATGTGGCAACAGTTTCGCAGATCGCAGCCCCCCAGGGATGGCGAGGTACAATTTGAGTCCGCCGTGTGTACCCAGTGTGTTGTCACCCGCCAGCAATGGCCTCACGAAAGTGGCGGACCAGTTTTCGCAGAATCGCAGCCTCCCCAGGATGGCGAGGTACATTATGAGTCCGCCGTGTTGTACCCATTGTGCTGGGCCCCCCAAGCAGGCTTCGAAAGTGGCGACTGTTTCGCAGGATCGAAGCCCCCCATTGACGGCGAGGTACAATTTGAGTCTGCGGTGGGTACCCACTGTGCTTGGCCCCTCAGCAGGCCTCGAAAGTGGCGACAGTTTCACAGATCGCAGCCCCCCAGGGATGGCGAGGTATAATTTGAGTCTGCGGTGTGTACCCACTGTGCTGGGCCCCCCAGCAGCCCTCGAAAGTGGCGACAGTTTCACAGATCGCAGCCCCCCAGGGATGGCGCGGTCTAATTTGGGTCCGCCCGTGGCGTCACTGTGCTGGGCCCCCCAGCAGGCCTCGAAAGTGGCGACAGTTTCACAGATCGCAGCCCCCCAGGGATGGCGAGGTCCAATTTGAGTCCGCCGTGTGTACCCACTGTGCTGGGCCCCCCAGCAGCCCTCGAAAGTGGCGACAGTTTCACAGATCGCAGCCCCCCAGGGATGGCGAGGGACCATTTGAGTCCGCCGTGGGTATCCACTGTGCTGGGCCCCCCAACAGGCCTCGAAAGCGGCGACAGTTTCGCAGATCGCAGCCCCCCAGGGATGGCGAGGTACAATTTGAGTCCGCCGTGTGTACCCACTGTGCTGGGCCCCCCAGCAGGCCTCGAAAGTGGCGACAACTTCACATCGCAGCCCCCCAGGGATGGCGAGGTACAATTTGAGTCCGCCGTGTGTACCCACTGTGCTGGGCCCCCCAGCAGGCCTCGAAAGTGGCGACGGCTTCGCAGATCGCAGCCCCCCAGGGACGGCGAGGTACAATTTGAGTCCGCCGTGTGTACCCACTGTGCTGGGCCCCCTAGCAGGCCTCGAAAGTGGCGACAGTTTCACAGATCGCAGCCCCTCAGGGATGGCGAGGTACAATTTGAGTCCGCCGTGTGTACCCACTGTGCTGGGCCCCCTAGCGGGCCTCGAAAGTGGCGACAGTTTCGCAGATCGCAGCCCCCCAGCTGGCACGCAGCGACGAGCGAAGGCAGGGGGGGAGAGAGGGACGGGGGGGGGCGGGAAGGAAAGCGCGAGCGGTGCTCTATTCAAAACGAGAACCCAACGCAGGAGGGTTGGGAATAACAAGAAGCATCAGCATCAGCATAAGCATCAGCTTCTGGAGATCCGCACGGATCTCTTGGATCGGCGCTGGGGCCCCTGGCGGCGCCTCTGGCGCCGCCCCTGGCGCGCTCCGCGCGCCAGGATGGGGGGGTCCAGCGCCGATCTAAGATGTCCGCGCGGACCTCCGAAAGTTTGGCGCCGATCTAAGATGTCCGCGCGGACCTCCGAAAGTTTACCCGTCAGTTGTGTGTGGATTCCCAAGGTTCCACTATGGCCTGGGCGCCTTCCAACTCCGAGCGTCGAGCCTGTTCCTCTCTTCCCTCTGCTTGAAGGGGTGGGCGGACACCCAATCTGCTTTCAACGCCTTCCTACCGAGTGTTTCGACCAATTTCTTCCGACCGATGGGCACATTCATGCGGGCAAGGCCCCGGGCTGGGTGAAGTTTCTGCGTCTCGTGGCCCCTCTCCCCCTCCTCCCACTCGCGCAGCAGGGCCACGATGCGGCCTCTGGAGCTGGGCGAGAGGCGCTGGTGGCATGAACTGTGCGGGGCGAACCGCTTCCTCCCCCACGAGCGCCGAGACTGCGCGGCGAGTGTGCCCGCTGCCTGCTCCCGTCACGCGCCTACGAAACCTTCGCGGCCGGAGCACGCTCCGCCGCCCGCGGCCTCTCTTGCGCCCCCTCGTGCCCAAGTCGGCTCCGGTGCGTCCCGCGGCTGTCCCGACCGCGCCTCGGACCCACGCCGCCGCCGACAAGCATGACGCCTCTGCTCCTCCATCGCCGCCTGCCCGCGGGCGGCCGAGGCGGCGCGGCGAAGGTCCCTGCTGCCCGTGCCCGTTCCCCCTTCCCGCCGGCGGCCAGCGGGCAGCCGGGCCGCTGTGCAGGGAGCGCGCGCGGCTGCCCCGCCGCGGAGAGGAGGGCCGGTGCGCACAGGGGAGCTTCCTCGCGAGGTACCCTCAGTGCCCGCGCCAGGCACTTCGAGGAACTCCAGGGGGGGGGGGCAGGGGGGCAGGGCCGGGCTTGGCCGGGGAGTGGGGCCCTGAGAGGTGTGGGGGGGGTTGTCGACCGCTGCGGCCTGGGCGGGGGCCCCCTCTAGCTCCGCCCCTCCTCCTCCTCCTCCCTCCTCCTCCTCCTCCTCCTCCTCCTCCTCCTCCTCCTCCTCCTCCTCCTCCTCCTCCTCCTCCTCCCCGCACAGGGGGGGGGGGGATTTAATAGGGGAGGGGGGGGAGGGCGGCTCCTGAGACGGAGGCCGCCTGTTAGAAGGCGCCAGGCTTGCATCTACTGGTCGTGCCCGCGCCTTCTGAGAGGCAGGAGGCCTTCCGCACCTCCCTCTACCCCCTTGTGCGCGCGGCCGACCCTCGGCCCATGGCCTGGCTTCGCCTCCGTCGTGATCCCTGGGCGATGTCGCAAGTAGGGCGGAAATGTCAGCCCTACTGTTCAAACTCCTCTGGCGCCGAGTGCCGCCCTGCTTTGCCGTCGCTGTGTTCCGCCATGACTTTGCGGAGATGTTCGCCCTCCTCTGAGGCGGAGAGTTCCGCCCCCTATTATTTGTTCGATCGTTCTGGGTGCATCTGCGACACGGTTGTAGGTCGGAAAATAGACCCAAGCACGGCGGCTCCGATGTCAGGACCGAAAACCAACGGCCCAAAGCCGGCTTTGCCCGTCCTCCTCTCGTCTCGCTTCTTCCTCCCTCCGTCCCTCCTCGTCGCTGTGCTCTGCCCGCCTGGGGCCCTGGTGCGCGCGCCGCCGTTCCTGGACTTTCGTGCCCGCGAGCTCTCGCCCCCTCTTGTGTGTTTCGCTCGTTCTGGGAGCTCGGTCAGGGTCACTGCCTCGTTGCTGTCAGGCTCGCCAGGTCCGTCCTCCGCTTCCCTTGATGTTTCTCCTTCCTCCTTTGGCGTCCGGGCTCTCGGCGGCGCTTCGTGTGACGTTCCAGGCTTGCCCGGTGGGCCTTCAGTCTCACATCGTGGATCCATGTGTGCAGCGGTTTGATGCGGGGAGGGGTAGGCAAACGAAGAAGTGAGGGAATGACGGTCCAGGACCCGTCTAGGAGGAGGAGGAGGAGCAGGAGCAGGAGCAGGAGCAGGAGGAGGAGGAAGGTCACCCGCGGGGGCGCGAGGATAGATCACCCTTCGCGCGTCGCGGCCTAGGCCGGAGAGCTGCCCTTCTCCCGGGTGGCCTCGCGAGGGCGCGAAGATGGCCGCGCGGGGCGCGACGCGCGCAGTTTGGTGAACGAGTGCCCCCTCGTGAACAGTGGAGCAGGAGAGAGGGCAGCTACAGGCGGTTGCGCTTCCAGGCATTGGGCCTGAGTGTTCGTCGTCGCGGTGTTCGCGCCGGCTGCGTCGAGGGACCATTGCGGTCGCTGCTGCGCAGGAGAGGCGGGTTGGTAGGGCTGGCCATCCTGCTGTTGTTCCTGCTGCTGCTCCTCCTCCTCCTCCTCGTGTTCGTAGGCCAGACTGGGCGTTTCGCCTGAGACTTCCTGACAATGTATGATGCTCAAACTTACAATCTGCATCAGCTTCAAGTATGGAGGGCGGGCTGTCTTCGAAATGGAGCTCTCGCACTGGCGCCGCGCACATTCGTTTTTTTTTATGTTGCATCAGCTGCAAGGATGGAGCGCGGGCCATTTTCATAATGGAGGTTCCGCTTTAGCGCCGCGCACATTCGTTCTAAAAGTTCGCAAGAGTTTGACAGATGGATGGCGGGTCGTTTTCAAAGCGTTGTTTTCGCCGTAGCGCCGCGCACATTCTTCTCACAAGTTTGCAAAAGAGTTTCACGAATGGAGCGCGGTACCCTTTCCCAATGTGGTTCTCGCCGCAGCGCCGCGCAAGTTCGTCTTTACAGTTTGCAAGAGCTTTCAAACATTAGATGGCCGACGTCCCAGGAATTATGCTCTGGCACGGCGCAGCAGTCATGTAGATTCGCTGCGGTGAATTACCAGGAATGGCGTTCTGGCGCGATTCCACATTGTCAGGACGCAACAGTCACTTTGATTCGCGGCGTTGAAGTCCTAGGAGTGGCATTTTTGCAAGAGCCGCGCTTCTCATCCCCATCAAATGTATAATGTAAAATGGTTGTGCGATTTTGTTGTTCAGGTCCTGGCGAGGTATCCCCTCTTTTTCAAACCGGCGGCAGAGAAATCCTTTCCTGTTTGAGTTCTTCGGACGGTTGTCTTCAACGGGCCGCTTCCTGCAATTGAAATACATTCATACAGGGACTGATGAATGGTAACTTGTTTGAAGTTTTTTTTGTTTTGCGACTTCGGTGATGCGTTTTGGGTTTACACTGGTTATCCTATCCTTCTCGTCCTCCTCCCCCCGGCTGACCAGCTTACAAATGCTGAACCCATCATGTGCCCTGATACACAGTTCCTCCTTGTCGCACCCCGAGACGCGTCGGTGGGGCGGGCTGGGCGTTGCGCTTGAGGTTTCCTCGCAATCTATGATCCTCAAGCTCGAAATTTGCAGCAGCTTGAAGGATGGAGGGCGGGCCGTTTTCAGAATGGAGGTCTCGCTTTAGCGCCGCGCGCATTCGTCTTAAGAGTTCGCAAGAATTTCACCGATGGAGGGCGGGTCGTTTTCAAAATGTTGTTTTCGCCGTAGCGCCGCGCACATTCGTCTGACAAGTTCGCAGAAGAGTTTCGCAAATGGTGAGCGATATCCTTTCCAAATGTGGCTCTCACCGTAGCGCCGCGCACGTTCGTCTCAAGAGCTTACAGCAGTTTCAAGGGTTCTTATGTTTGACGTCCCAGCGATTGTGATTTGACACGATGGGACTGTCAGGCCGCAACAGTTACGTTCTGTCGCTGTGTCGAAGTCCCACGAATGGTGTTCTGGCACGATTCAGGATCGTCAGGACGCAACAGTAATGTTGGTTCGCGGCGTTGAAGTCCCAGGAGCTGTGTCCTGGCACAGTTCATGATTTGCTGACGGTTGTCTTCCAAAGGCGCCATTTTCTTCAGTGCGAACGAATCCTTGTAGGGACTTGTGAACATGGGGGGTCATTACAACATTCTTGATGGGTCTCGGGTTTGCATTGGTCCTCCTCATGCGCTTCTCTATTCTCCTTGCCGCTCGCGCCCGTTCAGGTCCTGCAGCTTCTCGGCCCCAAGCTTGCTCTTCTCGCCCCCCGCTCCCCCCGCCGCGCGCGCGCGCGGCCAGGGCGCCAGGGGGCTTGCGGTTGCCACCGCCGCGCAGGTTCCTCTTCACCTACGCGGCGGTGTTCTACTTGCTGGGCTACGAGCTGCTTTGGGCCACTGCCGCAGGCAGGGGTCCCAACGCTTCCTCCGTGATCTGGCTGGGTCGGGGTCGCTCTTTCACCCCGCCAGTCAGAGCTCGGGTGGGGGTGGGCCGGCTGCCTCCTGTGGGCACCCGGCAGCGGCGAGTGTGCACACTCTCCGCTCGGGCGCCGCTGCCCCCCTGGCAGAGCGCGCCCGTGTCATCTGGGCGTGGCCCCAGCCAGGCCGTCCAGGCAGGCGTCTGACCTGCTCGCGGGTTCCTCCCGCGCCTGCCGCAGCTGCTGCTCGTGAGACGCTGGCTTCTGAGCCCCGTCCCGCAGGCTCGGCATCCGATGGCGCCTGCCTCCCTTTCGCCGCTACAAAACTCCCCTCCTTCCTCTTGCCTCTTCCCCTTGGACCCCGGAGCGGACGCCCATCTGGGGAGAGGAGTAGGAGGTGGAGTTCCCTCGCATCACGAGGAGGCCGCGCCATCGGCCCGGAGGAAGAGTGCTCGCGCTACGCCCGTTGCCGGCGCCACTCAAGGGTCGAGCCCGCCCGCCGCCGAACGGTCTATTGCTCGCGCCACGAGTGTCGCCGCCGCCTCTCGGAACACCGCCCGCCTGGCAACAGGCGGAGAGGCCACCGGCGCGAAGATAACGGCGTCCAGGACGGAGGAGTCGGAGTCGGTGGACCCTCTCTTTCTCCACTCCCCCTCTACTCCTCCCCCTCCAGTCGCCGCTTCGCCATGGCTCAGCTGCCGTTCGCGGCATCGTTTCCCTCGCGTGGGCAACGACAGGCGCGCGCGCGCCCAGGGCCCTTCGGGCGGATCGGGACCCAGCGGATTTGAGGGGGTTGGCATGCGCCCTTCCAGCGTTGCTGCTACGGCCCCGCAGGGGAGGGGTCGTGCCGCCCACTCAACCGTCGGCCTGGCTCACCAGTCTGGCCGCCCGCCGCGAGCAAGTTTTCTGGCCGCCTCGCCCGCTCCCGCGGGTTTTCGGCCCCCTCCAGGGTCGGAGCCGTCGGTTGTCGAAACCAGGCGGGGCGGGAGCTCTGTTCGTTTGGCAATCACCCACGAGCTGTCGCGCGCGGTGCCTCCCCCGCCTACTGTAGCGGCGGGCGCTGTGGATTCTGGCGGTTTGGCGGGGGTGGGTATGCGCTCCTCCAGCGATGCTGTTGCGGCCCCGCAGGGAGGGGTTCGTGCCGCTCCCCCAGCCGCCACCGCAGTTAACCAGCTTAGCACCCCGCCGCGAGACGGTCCCAAGGCAGCTTTGCCCTCGCTTTCGGGACTCCAGCTCCCTTCAGGGTTGAAGCCGCCGTCACAGACGCGTGCCGAGCGCACAGGGCCACCGCGGAGCAGTCCCAGAGCCGCCTCGCCGACTCGCGCCAGCTTCCGGCCCCCCCCTGGGTTGGAGTCGCCGTTGCAGCCGCGTGCTTGGCGGATGGGCCCACCGCCTGGCTTTGATGCACGAACACCAGCACTGCCGGCGGCAGCACCCACGCCTGCGCTTACGCCGGCACCAGCGCCAGCGCCTCCTCCTGCGCCGAGGCCGGCACCGATGCCTGCACGAGCGCCAGCACGGACAGCGGCAGCACCGACGCGAGCGCTTACACCAGCACCAGCGCCAGCGCCGCACCGACGTCAGCATCAACGCCAGCACCTGGCGGCGTCAGCACCGACGCTTGCGCTTACGCCGGCACCAGCGCCAGCGCCTACGCCAGCACCGAGGCCAGCGCCGACGCCAGCCCGGACGCCAGCACAGACGGCGGCAGCACCGACGCCTGCGCTTCCGCCGGCACTAGCGCCAGCGATTACGCCAGGGGGCGCTTCGACAGTGTTGCCCTTCCACCCGCCACCTGGGTTTGAGGCGCTGTCGGGCCCTGCGGTCTGGCAGGTGGGGCCATTTCCCTGCCTCGCTAGCCTGGAGGCGGGCGCTCGGGTGCCGCCGCCGCACAACCGTTGCGCGACCGACGCCGCGGTTGGGTTTCCTTTTCCTGACAGCGGAAGTGGGCAGTCGGCGATCCCCTGCCTAGGGGCCTCACCCCTGCCTCCAAGGGAGCCGCTTGCGGTCAGTGCCTCCCGTGCGAGCGCCCACGCCATCTTGCACTCGCTCGGGCTACTCGGGAATCCAACCTCGGCGTCGACGGACCCCGCGTCCTCGCCAGTGTCGGCCCCCTTGTTGTCAGGCGCTACGCGACATGTTTCTGCTGCTGCTGCAGATGGTTTCGGGGTAGCTGGTACCTGCCTGCCGGGCGCCGCTGCTTCGGCGCCACAGAGCACGGGTCGCACCGATCCCTCAGCCCCCGCCGCAGCTCGCGATTTGGGCACGCCGCCGCAAAGCTGTCCTATGGCCACTTCGCCGTGTCTTCCAGGCTTCCTGCCCCCACCAGGGCTGGAGCCGCCGTCACGGCCGTGTGCCTCGCGTCGCTCTGGGGGCGCCCTCCGCGAGGCTAGAGGCGCTCCAGCCCTTCGCCGACGTGGCGGTTCGTCTGGGTTTTCTGCCATTCGGGATCGCGGCCACGTTGGCCAGGGCACCTGCGCCACCTCATCGCGTCCAGCTGCGCGCTGGGACCCCAGCTTCGGCGCTCGTCTCAGCGTGGGGGAAGGCTCGGTCGAACGCCCCTCCGCAGGCGCTCCCGCCTGCCCCTCCCGCGCGCGTCCCCCCGCCACTTGGGGGGGCCGACCCCGCTGCGGTCGCCGGCTCCGCCGAGGGGGTCGCAGGGGACGCACTGGGGCTGCCTGCCGAGGCGCCCCAGAGGGCTCTCGATCTGGCTTTCATCTGCCTGCGGGAGGCGCTGCAGCGGTGCATGTTCATCGTCCAGCTGGTGGGGGGCCGCGGCTACCTCGGAACCGCATGGTTCCTCACGGGGATCAAGCCCCCCCCGTGTCGCGTGACCTGGTGCGGGTGGCGGCAGGCCCTTGCCGCGCCCGTTCCGCCGGCTCCCAGGCCGCCGGCGGAGCCGCCCTCCACGGCGGCGCATCCACCACAGGGGTGGACGCACGCGAGCTGCGTGCACCGGCCGAGGGTTCACGCAGCGGCGAGTCGCTGTAAGCGACGACGCTGCTGCTGCCAGGCGTGCCTGGGCTGAGCGAGGCCGCGAGAGTAGGCACGCGCTCCTCCAGCGATGCTGTTGCGGCCCCGCAGGGAGGAGTTCGTGCCGCTGTCGCGACTCTCGCTCTACCCCTGACTCCCCTTCAGGGCCGAGTGGCCATTTTGGCAATTTTCACCGTGCTGCCGAAGCCCCTTCCGACGGGGACTCAGGCGCACCGCCCGTCGCTTCCATCGGTTCTGTTGCCAGTGGGAACCCCCCTCGAGTCGACTTGTCCTCCGGGGTCACTACCGCGCCACCGGCCCCTCGAGTTGACCTGTCCTCAGGGGCCGCTGCCAGTTCCGAAGCCTCTCGCGTTGACTTGTCCGCGGGGGATTCGAGGCCGTCTGCACCTACCGGCACCACGCCTTCCTTTCCCAAGGTCGCGCCCTTTGTCGCTGACCTTTCTGCCTTGCTGCGCCTGTTTCCTGGCGCGAACATCGATATCACCCATTGGGCTGCTGCTTTAGCTCAGGTTGGGATGGGTGCTCGTTGTTCTCTGTCGTCTTTCACCCGCACCTCCCTCAGCGCGTCGGCCCGGGACGGCTCGTACGTGTTGGAGCCGCCTCCCCGCGATCCTTGGCCGTGCCCTCCAGCGCCTTCTCTGCCGCCGCCTCCTGTAACCTTGACGGGTCGCGCGCGCGAGCGGTGGCGCTTGAGGCGCGCAGCGCGCACCTTAGCACAGCACGCCGTTGTTGCGCTAAACTGGCTCACCTTGGGCCATCCCAGCCTCGCTCCCATCGAGGCCCATGTGTGCACAGCGGCCACGCCCTGCCAGGAGGGTACTCGCGACCGCCTCGAGCGGTTGTGTCGGATCGCAGTTCGCCTTGCCCGCGGCGGCAAGAGCGACTTAGGTCGGGCTTTCTCCAAGTTCGACGCCACTGAAGTCTCGCTCCATGGCCTGGCCACCCATGTTGCAGCTATCGAGGCTTCCTTCACCTCCTCTTCCCAGGTGCCCGCCCCCATGCGGCAATGCCCGTCCAGCGCGCCTCCTGTGCCTGGATCGTTGGCTTCAGCGGCAGGCTGGGACTCCACCCAGTCTGAGCCCTTCGACCTCCGAGTCAGGGCGTCCCGCATCAAGTGGGATTATTCTCCGACGTTTGATCCCACTCCCTTCCTCGCCGACGCGCGGGTCCGCAAAGCTTTTCACGACCCCGAAACCATGCGTCTTCCGTCGGCCGAGTGGCCATCGGGCCTCCCGGGGGCCCGCGTCCACATGGACCGTGATCAGCTGTGGGAGCTTCTTCGGAAGTGGGGCTCCTGCGGCGCCCTGTACTTGACTCCCACCTCAGACCTGGCTTGGGATGAGGCTTGCGGAGCGTTCAGGGTCCCCAAGGACAGCGAGTACGATCGGCTGATTCTTAATCCCACGGTGGTGAACAGTCGCTGTCAGAGCATTTCTTCCAGCACTCAGCGCCTTGGGCAGGGTTTCCTGCTCTGCCGCATGGGTCTCGCTGCGGGCGAGTGGTTGGTGGTGTCATGCGATGACTTACGCGAGTTCTATTACACCTTTAAGGTGCCACCAGCTCGAGCGAAGCGCAATGCCCTCCGCGTGCGGCTGCCCAGTGCGCGGTTCAAGGCATTCAATGCGTGGCGCCCTGACCTCGAGGGCGTGGATGTTTCCCCGTGCTTGAACGCGCTGGCTATGGGCGACAACGTGGCCGTGGAAATCGCAAACTCTGCGCACGAGGGTGTCCTTCGCAGCTTCGGGGCTCTTCGCCCCCATGAGCAAGCTGTGCGCAGGACTCCGTTTCCGCGTGGCCATTTCGTCGAGATGTTGAACATCGACGATCACACGGGCTTCCAGAAGCTGTCCTGGAATGGCCTAGCTCCCCGCCCCGACGACCCAAATCGTCGTGATAAGGAGGTGTTTGCTGCGTGCGACCGCGGCTACCCTCGCGTGGGGCTGGTCCAGCACCCTGGTAAGCGGACCCGTGGCGCGACTCATAAGGTCGTGGTCGGTGCCGAGGTGGAGGGTCGGATAGGCATCGTGTGCGCGCCTCTTGTGCGCACCGTGGCCCTGCGCCGGCTAACCCTCATCCAAGTGTACCTCGGTCATTCGACCCGCGCGGTGCTAGCGTCGCTCGTCGGATGTTGGGTGCAAGTGTTTCTCTTTCGCAGGCCCATGCTGTCGATTTTCACGCACGTCTACAACTTCCTGTCGTCGTTGTCGACGGAAGATGGGTTCGAATACGAGCTCCCCGTCTCCGTTCGCGACGAGCTGCTAGCCTGCACTTACCTGGCCTTTGTCGCCATTACCGACCTTCGCGCGGGCTACTCCCCCGAAGTGTTCGGCACGGACGCCTCCCTCGGCTGGGGGGGAGTGGTCCGCTCCTCGATCAGTCCACATCTCTCCCAAGAGTTGTGGCGCCGGTCTGAGCACGGAGGGTGGCACACGGTCCTCCACAACCGAAGTTTGCTTGCCGTGCTGGACCGGGGAGTCCCATTAGGCCCCGAGCTCACCCAGCTGCATCGCGATTTGGGGCTCCCTTCCATTGAGCCCCCAGTCGCGCCGCACTGGATAAGCGAACTGTCGGAAGCGCTGCACTTCCGCCTGGCCTATAAATGGGAATTTCGAATGCCGCGTCACATCAACATCCTGGAGGCCACTGTTTTCAAGAGTCTGTGCAAGTACTGCTGCGTTCGCATGCCGGACTCTCGGATCCCTGTGCTGCTCGATTCTAAGGTCGCCTTGGGCGCGGCCGCCCACGGTCGCAGCAGCTCTCCAGGGCTTTCCCATGTCCTCAGCACGGCATTGCCTTACATCTTGAGCGGTGGCTTATACATGGGTGGCCTCTATGTGCCCACCGACGTCCACAGGGCGGATGACCCCACCAGGAATCGGCCTGTGCGCCCCCCCTCCAGGGAGGCTCCTGCGTGGCTGGTCGACGCTGAGGCGGGCGATTTCGGTAGGTTCGATTGGGTCGCACTTGCTGACGCGCATTCTCCCTACCCCACTTGCCTATGGGGACGGCTCGCCGCGCTAGTCCTAGCACAGGGGCTCCTTGCGCGGGGGAATGCCCGGGCCGCCCCTGGTCTGGCGGCACGTCCCCCTCTCTCGCCCGCCCCCGCGGCCGACGCATGGTTTGCAAGCGCGGCCGCCGCAACTGGGGTCGAGGCGCCGGTTTTTCTCGCAGCTCCCGGCACGCTTCCGCAGCCCGACCCAGCGCAAGCCGAGGCTCCAGAGATTCCTAGGCGGAACGCCTCTCCCGCGGTGGGCGGCGGATGCCTCGGGGGAAGGAGCGCCGAAGGTGCCGCTGAGCTCTCCGCGCTTCCCCATGAAGCCTCCCAGGGCGCGTCGCCTTTCGAAGCGCCCTTCAGGCCGGGTGCGGCCCCCGTTGCCGCTGGCCCGCCCGGCGCGCCCGCCCAGCTTTCGGCGGCCAGGCCGAGGCTCGCCGCCCGGACCGATCCCAAGCGACCCGCCAAGGTTGCAAAGGTGCGGACGGCGCGCGAGCTCCTTCAGCTCAAACCGGGCGCCGACCGGTCGGCCATGGAACGCCAGTTCCGGCGGTTGGCCACGCCGCACCGCCCGGACAGGGCGCGCCATCGCCCATTGTCCGCATCGGACCGCGCGGACGCCTCTCCCCTCTGGCCCAGGTTCTGCGACGCGAAGTCGCTCCTGCTTGGCGAGGCTTCTCGTTGCCAGCCGGGAGCGGGAAGCCTACCTTGCCAGGAACGGGAGCACGGGACTTGCCGCGGAGGCGTTCGTGCGGGCCCGCGCCTATATGCAAGAGCGCGGCCGTGGCCAGACGGGCGCGCCGCCGGCGCCTGCCAGTGCTTGCAGCCCGAGCTGGGCGGAGCACGGCCGGATTTCGGGGCCTCCGCCTCTGGGACTCCCTCGGCGCCCTGCTCTTCGCGCGGAAGGCGCCATCGGCCAGCTCGTCCAGCGGAAACGGTTCGCGCTGAGCGCCCCCGTCGTGCGCGCGCTGCTCGTGCGCCCGCGGCGCTGCTCTCGGCGCCTGGCGCGGCCGCGCCGCCCCCGGGTCGCAGGGCCAGGCGCGCTGCCAATTTCGCGCTGTGGGGCCAGCCTTGCGCGCGCCATCGCGCCGCCGCGTCGGCGGACGAGGGGCGTGAGCCTTTGCCTTCGCGCTCCTGGAGCCCGGGCCTTGGAGCAGGCGCGCCCGGTGCCCCCTCCAGCAGCGCCCGGCTCGGCAGCACCTCGAAGTGGCGCGACGCGCCGCTTGCGCCGGGGGACGGCGCCCGCGTTCCGCACACTTTTTCCGACCGCGCCCCGCGACGCCAGTCGGACTCGCAGGACGCGCCGCCAGTGGCGTCGCCGCGGGGCTCTCGCCGCGCACCGCCGCCGCGGGGCGCTCGCGCGAGCACCCGCTCGGCTGGCCCAGCCGCCCGCGTCGCGGCCGCTCCGCCGCCGCGCGGCTCCGGCAGCGACCCCGCTTGCGACCTCGCTTCCGGAGCTCGCGACCCGCCCGCGGTCACCGGCTCGGCGAGCTCCGGGAGCTTGCCGGTTGGCGCATTCTCGCCCCACCTCCCTCCCCCCCCCCACGCACCCATGCTTGCGACCCGCCCACACGCTGTTTCACCGTCCCCTTCGAGGCTCGGGAGCGTGACCCCTCTGCCGGTCCTCCCCCCCCCCCCCCCCCCCTCCCACCCGCGCGGCGCACTTTTTCGGTCGAGTGAGGGCGCCGGTTCGATTGGCCCTCCTGCTCGCGTCCGCCATTGCGCCACCCTCAAGCATTTTACGGCCCCGTCTGCGGGTGAATTGCTGCACCATGCGGGTGCCTGCGGAAATCTCGTGTGCGGCCCCGGAGAGCCCGAGATACGCGCTTTTGAGCTTTCCCGCGGCCTCGGGGCCCGCCGCCGCCTCCTTCGCCATGCTTGAGGCCGCACCCCGTGCCGGGGCCAGTCCGAGGTCTCTTGGCCCCGCGGCCGCGCCTCGCGCCGCACTTCTGTCGGTGGACTCGCCCGTTGGTAGCGCGGATCTCCCCCAACCTAGCGGAGCCGCGCACGAGAAGGGCTCAGACGCGTTGGCGGCTGCGCCACACCTTCTCGACTCCTTGGAGCCCTCTGCGCGCGCGGCTCGAGGCCTGCCCCAAGACGGGGCGTGCGCTACCTCGGTTGCGATGCGCACCAGCCGAGTCGCTGGCCCAGCGGCCGCGGTTGCGCGGCGCGCGCGTGCCGACCGGCGCGCTCGCGCGCGATTCCTATCCTCGGTCGCCGCTGCCGAGGCCGCTCTCACCGAGGTTATGCTGGGAACAAGCGAAGAGACTGGCGAGGGCGCGGGAGAGCTGGCGAAGCGAATGCAGACGCTCTTAGCCGAGCTCGAGCGGCGCAAGGATGCGATGCGCATCGCCCGCTCTCGTCTTGCTGATTGCGTCAGAGAGGCCGCCTCCGCTGGATTCCCTGAGGCGGCGGCGTGCTCGCCCTCGCCTGTGGCAGCGCCAACTGCCCTCGCGGAGGTGGACAGCGCCGCCGAGGCGGAGGCCAGGGTTGGTACGGGCTTGCACAGCGAGGCTGAGCCGGCGCGGCATCGCGACGAGAGTGCCACCCTTGCCTGGCCTCGGCGAGTCCCCCACCCCGCGCGCCGCCGCCGCCGCAGGGCGGCAGAGACGGAGCCTCCCAGCGCTCCCTGGTCAGGCGCTGTTCTGACTTCGGCCGGCGATCGGCGCAAAAGAGCTCTCTACGCGTTCGAATTGGTGCGCCGAGGACGCAGGGGTGGCGCCACTTCCGCTGTATCGTAGTGGGATCCTGCTGTCGAGGTTCCTCGCAACGTTCGGCGTGTGGCTGCGCGACGCAGGTTTCCCGCTCAACATCCTGGTGCACGCGATCATAGGCGTCCAGGCACGTCTCCCTCATTGGAAGCCCTTTCTCACCGAGGCGTGGGGAGTGGCGAGGGCCTGGAAGCGGTCTCAGCCACCTCGCCTTCGGCCGCCAATGCCACGAGCGCTCTTGCGCGCTATGGTGGCAGTTTGTTTCACTTGGGTCTGGCCAGTCATGGCCGCCTTGCTGCTGGCAGGGTTCACGATGTCCTTGAAGCCCGACGAGCTGCTGTCAGCCCGTCGCTGTGACCTTTTGTTGCCTTCGGATTGCCTTGAGTCCTCAGGCAACGCTTGGATGACCATTCCCGATCCAGTGAGCAGCATGTCTTACCCGCCACAGCACGCCTGGTGCTCTGACAAAGCGGTGGTTCGGGTTTTGGAGATGGTCTTTCGGCATTTGGGTCCCACCGATCCTCTGTCGACCTTTGGTCAAAGCGGCTTCCGTACTCGGTGGAACCATTTACTTTTGGCGTTAGGCGTACCGCTCGCCGAGACGCCAGCGGGGTTCCACTTGACCCCTGCTTGCCCCCGCGGCTCAGGCGCGACAGACTTTCATACGGCCACAGAAGATAGTGGTCGTATCTTCTGGCGTAGTCGCTGGCGCCAGGCGTCTAGCGCGGAGCGCTTCTTGCACGACGATGCTTCCGCCGCGATGCTTTCCGCCTTGCCTGATGCCGCTCGGGCCCGTGTCACCTACTTCGTTGGCGCGAGCGACTTCCTTGTCGCTTCCTTTCTGAACTGTGGCCCCACTGCGTGGCCCCTTCTGCTCGCGGCCGCCCGCCAAAACCTTGTCACTTCGCAAGGGCTTTGAGCCTGGGCATGGCTGCTACGGCCACCTGGCCGTCCAGATGGCCTCGTTGGACGAGGTCGTCTGAGGGCGCCGCACGGCTTGGGCGCGGCGCCCCGCCATCCTTTACGGGTCGCCGCGCGCGCGCCGCGCGCCCGCCTCCGGGACCTGATCGCTTGCGCTGCGTGCGGGAGAATGCGCTTCTCTATTCTCCTTGCCGCTCGCGCCCGTTCAGGTCCTGCAGCT